ACAATAAGATTCTAACCAAAGAATAGATCAACATTTTACAGTAATTCACTATCTTTTCATTTTACATATGCTATTTATATTTTAGAAATAAAACTAAAAAAATAAAATAATGAATAAATAAATAAGAAAAGATAAAATAGTGAATAAATAAATAAGAAAAGATAAAATAATGAATAAATAAATAAGAAAAGATAAAATAATGAATAAATAAATAAGAAATTAAAATAATGAATAAATAAATAAGAAAAGATAAAATAAATAAAAGATGAAATATGCTATTAAAATACTTGTTATGCTTTTAGCGAAATTTGCAACTTTTCTAACGAAATTATTAGCAAAATATTAGCAAAATAGATCGTACAGTCTATTTCTGTGGACTACTAAAAATATAGTAAAATTCGAGAGAATTCATATGAAAAATAACTATAATATTTTCTTCGTATATGAATAACTAACGTAAACTTTTAACGTGGAATATACGCATACAATCAATATATGTATATATATTCACACAATATTGAAAGTTCAAATATAATCGTTTAAAAATCAAAACAATAAAAATAGAGTTAAATGTCAGTGTATTGAGCAACACGGAGATTCAAGAAATGCGCGCGAAATCACGCGTCTAATAGCAACATAAAACGCGATTTCACGGAGGAGTGTGAAAATTCTACGTGGATTTTCGTGCGTCACTTAAGCACAGATACATGACACCAAAACGCACGAGCATATGGATACATGGTCGCGCGTGACAAAGTTTTCCTCGTTTTGCTAATGAGGCAGTCTATAAACGCTCAAAGAGCTTTCCAGCGGCAAGTTCAACGTCATAAACGTGGGTGGTAGCATTTGAGCGCAAATAATCACCCGGAATTGGTGTTCCAAAGAATCGCAACGAGCCTCGGAAGATGTATTTGCACTGTTTTTAATGAGCGCCATTTAGAGCGCGGTTTCCGGCGCGTCTCCACCGATTATCGTTTCTGCCGTTTCGGTTTTCGCGAGCGCTTTTCACATCCCTTCGACCGCGTTTCGAGAACTGACGTGCTGACATCACCGCGAACGAAAAAGCGGAAAAAATCGAGAAAAGAGATGGGAAAAAAGAAACGGGACGAGTTCACGTGCGCGCGTGCCGCGCGAAACTTTAATATCGGTCACAGTCCCTCGTGATTCATCGGTCGCATGCAATTTTCCGCATATGCTAAAACATCCTCCCCATAAATGAGGTCGGCACACGCCCTCGTATGCGTCCCGTATACGTTCCGCGCGAGAAAATGAAAATCGAGTCCGGGCAATCTCTCATCTCTCTCTCTCCCCCTCTCTCTCTCTCCCTCTCTCTCTCTCTCTCTC